TTGAACACCCTGCGACTTTGCAAGTTCTTCCACTTAGAAATCATGGAGGGGTCTGAAATTTTCCTCTTAGGTGCATGTCCACTGTGAGAGACATAATCTAAAAAATAAAAATCAGAAATCGCAATGTATGATTTTTAAATAATTTATTTGTGTGTTACTGCAACATAAATAAGTATTTGAACACTGGTGAAAATCAATGTTAATATTTGGTACAGTAGCCTTTGTGTGCAATTACAGAGGTCAAACGTTTCCTGTAGTTCTTCACCGGGTTTACTGCAGCAGAGATTTTGTCCCATTCCTCCACACAGATCTTCTCTAGATCAGCCAGGTTTCTGGGCTGTCGCTGAGAAACACGGAGTTTGAGCTCCCTCCCAAAATTTTCTATAGGGTTTAGGTCTGGAGACTGGCTAGGCCACTCCAGAACCTTGATATGCTTCTTATGGAGCCACTCCTTGGTTCTCCTGGCTGTGTGCTTCGGGTCATTGTCATGTTGGAAGACCCAGCCATGACCCATCTTCAATGCTCTCACTGAGGCGAGTAGAATTAAGACCAAAAAGTTCTATCTTGACCTCATCTGACCACAGAACTTTCTCCCATGACTCCTCTGAATCATCCAAATTGTCATGGACAAACTTAAGACGGGCCTGGACGTGTGCAGATTTAAGCAGGAGAAACTTCTGTGCCATGCATGATTTTAAACTATGACGTCTTAGTGTATTACCCACAGTAACCATGGAAACAGTGGTGCCAGCTCTCTTCAGGTCATGGACCAGCTCCTCCCGTGTAGTTCTGGGCTGATTCCTCACCTTTCTTAGGATCACTGATACGCCACGAGGTGAGATCTTGCATGGAGCCCCAGTCCGAGGGAGATTGACAGTCATGTTTAGCTTCTTCCAATTTCTAGTAATTGCTCCAACAGTTGATCTTTTTTCACCAAGCTGCTTGGCAATTGCCCCGTAGCCCTTTCCAGCCTTGTGGAGGTCTACAATTTTGTCTCTGGTGTCTTTGGACAGCTCTTTGGTCTTAGCCATGTTAGTAGTTGGAGTCTTACTGGTTGTGTGGGGTGGACAGGTGTCTTTATGCAGCTAACAACCTCAAACAGGTGCTTCTAATTTAGAATAATAAGTGGAGTGGAGGTGGACTAACAGGTCTTTGAGGGCCAGAATTGTTGCTGATTGGCAGGTGTTCAAATACTTATTTGCAGCAGTAACACTCAAATAAATTATTAAAAAATCATACATTGTGATTTCTGATTTTTTTTTTTAGATTGTCTCTCACAGTGGACATGCACCTAAGATGAAAATTTCAGACCCCTCCATGATTTCTAAGTGGGAGAACTTGCAAAGTCGCAGGGTGTTCAAATACTTATTTTCCTCACTATATATATTCAATTCAATTAAATAATACTTCATTAATCCCAGAGGGAAATTAAATGTTGTAACTCATCATACTGGTTTCATTAAAGAGTTGTATATAGAGTTGTGTATATATATATATATATATATATATATATATATATATATATATATATATTTACAATCACGTAGGTGCTTAACAACCCGTTAAAATACACCAAAATGCAGGAAATCACATCTACTTTAATCAAAAAATTTCTGGGGAGGACCCCCAGCTCCACGTCGCCCACTATTTGCGTTCCAGCATCGATCAGTTTACAAATGAAGCCCTGTTACTCGGTTTGACTCCTGCTGTTATGATTCTGTTCAGTTTTATGTAAAGAGTTTTCTGTAATAATTAGAAGAAGTGGCAATACTTTTATTATGTTCATTATGTGAATAGGCAAAGTTTAAAATGTTTTTTTATCCTGTTAATTTTCTCAAAACTGTAATTTTTGGAAGTTGAAAATAAAAATAAAGTTAATTAAGTGTGTCTTGAATGAAAAATACCCCATGTTTAAAAGTATAAAAATTGTATTAACACTATTTCCATTGCATTAAAGGGACAAATTGAAAGAAATTATTTAATAAACATGAGGGTCATGAGGGGGTCCCTGAAACTTTTTCTCCCCTGTAAGGGGTCTCTGGACCCCAAAAGTTTGAGAACTCCTGATTTAAGGGACCTTTTTTAATTTTTGCTAACCAGGTTAAATGATGTGTTCAGCCTGCCCCCTGCTGGTCTAATTGTGTTACTGCAACACACTGGAGTACACCGCATTAATTCAAACTAACTCATGGTTCAAACCTTTACAGATGCATGTTTCTACATTCATTTAAAACTTAGAAACACTTCCATCCCTAACAAGTAACTCTTGTATTCCTACCTTAATCAGTGTTTTGACTAAATTGATCTTTTTTTTTTTTTTTTCAGGTGTTGCAGTCGGCTAAAGAACAGATCAAATGGTCCATACTGAAATGATTGGAGGAGGGGGGAACAAATGTTGTGCAGAATTTCTTCTTGTTTCTAACTTATTTTTGAAGCTGTGTTGCCACTTTTTGTTTGACTCAAAGCATTTACTTGGCTAGTATAAATACTTTTGTGGCGTGTGTTTTTTGAGTGTTTTGTTACGTTGTGTGAAGTTTTCTGCCTGTTTGGTTTGGGCGTTATAATAAACATGTGGGGGGGGGGCTGTCCTAACATGTTGGAAGGATAATTATCAGCAAAAGATGAGTGTACTGAAGGTCATGAATTGAATCCAGGTGATTAGAAAGATGATCTGTTTGTTCTTTGTTAAATGGAATCAGTCTGTTTTATTTGTTAAAGACGCGCTGGTGTTTTTAAAACATTTATTCACGCCCACAAAAACTAAAGTTAAATATGCAAAAACCAAGCTTTCCTCCTGTAAACATTCACTGTGTGAGTCATTTCAGTGTGTGAAGAACTGTGACAACACAAACAGATGTTTGGGTTTAAGCTTTGGAATAAAAAGTACAGTCGACATTTAAAAATGTCATCAAAGCACAGAGCGAACATTTGTGCTTCGTTTTGCTTCATTTAAAGAACTTTACATCGTTCTGATTGTTCCTACAACATCCAACATGTTGTGTGAAACAGCTTTAGAGTCTGGAGAAATGCTTTCAAATGATGCTTCATTTATGACTCATTTGTTGACGTGCGCTGAATAAAGATGCACAATTCTCTTTTTTTTTCTTTGCGTGTTAATAGATTACTGAAGTCAATATGGATTTTAAAGAGCTGAAAAATAGACATTTGTGGTCAGAGTTACAAAAATCTATTTTACAAGAACTGGGTAAAAGTAGGTATAAATTATTTTCTAAGCTGACATAAAAATAATTATTTTGTTATATTTGTATGATAAACTGATGTTTGTGAGACTAAAAATAAAACTATACATATTTACTGACTTTAGTCCTGTTAATTTTCATTTATTTGTTTATTTATTATGGGGCGGGTGTTGACACATAAGTCCACTGCTGGAATCGAAAAAGAAAATGGATCCAGTCAAAAAGATGTGGGCCTCTCTAATTCATACTTTATTTCCTGCTCTTTTGATTGGCACGCAGCTAATGGTGAAAAAAATTCAGTAGACTGTTTAATTAAATTTCAGAAATAAATAATTAAAAATAGGAAATGTACAAACGTATAAAAACGTGTTTAATGGCGTTACATAATACAAGATAAATTACACATTGTTTTCATCCAGTTTGACATGACTGTCAACAAGGAAGAGGGCCGGCAATGGAGGAAGGGCATGACAAAGAGACTACCTTGGCACCAACATAACTGGTTTGTTCCACTTTGGAGTAATCAGTTTTGTGTTGTGTGTTTCCTTGACTGATGAAGCCTTCCGGATCGAAGGTGAAACGTTTCAGCACAAAAAAAGAAACTGTCCTGATGACCTGACTGTTAGATTACACATTGTTGCTATTACAAATCAGTCAGGGTCAATAAAAGATGGCTTTTTCAACAAACAAAAAAAGCTCTTCAATGACAAAGTTAAGTTTTATTTATTGTAGTATTTCAAGTGATTCCAAACAAACAAAATACGTAGTATAAAACTACTTATTACTTACATATTGACCCATTTGGTAGAAACTTAAATCATCAGAGGTCTTGGTGCTAGGACACTCAAATATTGTCCTGTCTCAGAGCAAAGAGGGAATTAAAACTAATTCATGCATGCTGTGAACATAACTTAAAAAAAAGGTGATTTACATTCCAGTGTGTGGTTTTATCTAGTCAAAGGAAAGGTTCCTTTCGAATATTGGGTGGGCATGTTAAAATCCCAAATGTCTGCCGCCACACATGTATAAATGTAAACATTTTGAGCTGGATAACTTCAAAATAAGCAACATGCTGACTTGCATGTTGTTGCTTGGCTGGACCTAGGGGTAAAAAAAAGTGTCCCTATCAAAAATTGGGGCGCAACATCAAAATCAAAGATGGCCACTACATATGTATATATACACACATAAATACATGCTGAGCAGGTTGTCCTCACAAACTGAGTGAGATCACCGAGACGCCTGCGAGCACTGAAGAAGTTCCAAGCTTCAGCAGAAGAGATAAGAGACTGCATACAACTACTGTTGCCAGAGTTTTCCACCAATCTGAGCTTCATGGGAGAGTGCTATATATACTGTATGTATATATATTCATTATATATATATATATATATATATATATATATATATATATATATATAT